TCCACGATCGTGGTTTTCCGCGCAGTGGTGCGCATAGGCCAGACGGTCTCCGGTCATCATGGGCCTCTGATTCAGGAAAACCCGATTGAACGGGGTGAATTTACGACGCCGGTCGGGGCAGAGGAAATCGATGAACAGTCCAGTGTCACATACATCCACCACCCGGCCAAGGCGGAACAGGCCATCAGCACCCGTACATCGACCAAGTTATTTCGATTCACTCTGTCAGACATCGTTGGAACTTGCATGAAGCCAATTCCAGTAGCCATTTCGTTTGACATATACCAGACAGACTGAGACAGTCCGCTAAAATTTCGTCTAATGTGCAACGCAAAAGATAATGTACGTCTGTAACCGACAGTAATTCAGAATATATAAGTTTAGAATGGAGGATAGGTCAACTCCATGCTGTGGACATGTGCAAAAGGTCACAAAACGCAAGTACGACACAGTGATGATTCTATACTGTGTAGCCAAATACTAATAATGAAGTTCCCTAAAAACGGCCGAAAATAGACGCTTTATGTACTTTGCGCACTGGCTAAACGTCATGTTCCAAATTATTCATGAATCATGAATGATCAGGGAAATGGATCGCCTATAGGCTGTAAGTCTATTACGTAGGACAAAATTCTCTTACTATGCATATATGTATTATATCTTTCCTTTATAACTGCTGCCTGCATGGTCCACAGATGCAGCACACATTTTCCGCGGAACCGAATGCAATTTACCGGTGTAGACAGTCTCTGCGCAACAATCACCTCCGCCTGAATACTGTTGACCATATCAGCTCGATGTAATCAGATCGTAGTGTCCAGTAGTAATGAATATTGAGAAGCATCAGAGTAATCCGCACAAACCGCAGCATCCCCGTAACCCGCCGCAATAGGATATGGTTGCCAGACTACGAGGAGGTATACATTACAACAGAGCCGGTAGCGTATTCACTGCGTCTACCACCGCGTAGTCGCTACCATGCCCGAGCTGCTGGAGAACCTCTGCGTCATTTAGGAACGGTACCTTCTGATTTTTTGCGCAGTTGGGTTTTATTCCAATCTTCACTTTTCGAAAGACCATCCATATTAAGAGCGTTTTTTCAGTCAAGGAGAATGTACGTAGTTAGTGTGACTTTGCCGTAGAAAAAGCAATAATGATAAGATAATAATAAGTATATCGCCTGTAAAGGTAAAATATGTAGAAATCTATTCATTATCATATTAAATGCTTGAAAGGTCGTACTCGTACTTATAGCCCCGCATTCCGCTTTGCCACACTAAAAATGAAATTTTATATAAGACAGATCCAACGTTAACAGCAGGGTATAACAGCATAAAGTAAGGTTTTCAAGACAAACCCAGATGCAACCCATTAGAAAAAACCGACAACAATTATCGCAAGCATTATTATAAAAGCATTAAATTCATTATGACCGCTTTTCCCTACGCTCACTGTTATTCCAAAAAGAAGTGGTTACGTGTCGTTCAATTCATCATCATAGTAATCATAGTCCGAGTCGTCATCGCTTATATAAGACAGAGTAAAATAACCAATCAATCCCACCAGGAAGCACAGGGAAATCGTGGACAGTTTCCGCAGTTGCGAATCCTCCAGGCCGACAGTACACCACTCCTTGTTGCGGTACTGGGAGGATGGGCGTGGGTCGGCTGACTGCGTCGCGCACAAAACCTGCAACGTAGCAAGTTGCATCACTTGCATTGACTATTTATTACCTATGACCAAACAAACCATTATTGATAACAGGACCTGCATCCATCTGAGCTGCTTGTTTTGCTCGGCGCCGCTGCGAATACTTTTACACCGCTGCGAATACTTTTACACCGCTGCGAGTACATTATTTTGCTCTACAGTGTAGAGTCTACACGCCCTCAAAACTTATTTAATGACGTTCTCAAGACAAAACGAAAACGTTTTCAGAAATATAAACATTTCGCCATACAAATTCATTGAAGAGAAGAAGGTGCAGCTCATATTCATATCCGAAGGTCAGATACGTCTTCAAACCGCTAGCTTTCGAAACTCTTAGGCCATGGGAATGTCAGCTACCGTTTTAGTAAAAATAATCGGCAAGCGACTCCAACAGCACACGAAAGATCCTCGGGTCTCACGAGTTTTTCCGCTAACGGCAATCGCTGAAAATTCGGCGAGGCAGCGCCGCTACCGTGCTCGAAACAATGGAAGGAGCCCTTGTACAGATTTTCAAAGCTATCCCTGAGTTTTTCGTTTATTTTTCCTTAAAACCGGTACAATAAACAAGATAGGATAACAGATATTTCAGTTTTAAAGTTACAGCTCTTTATCGTCGACGACCGCACTCACCTTGCATGCCAATCCGCGTTCGTCCGCAGCAGCCGAAGCCAACTGCCACTTTAACGTCACGAGCTGCCTTCCTCTGGGCTTCGGCACGCCTCTCTCAAGTGTATCCCACACCGCGTTCCCAAAATCCCCCATTGGGAACGAAACCGATGCCAGGCTAACACGAAGCTCGATGGTCACAGTCTCCTCCAACCACTCGTCCAACGCGACGTAGTTCAGATGGATGCGGCAGTCGATTAGACGCATGGTATCGCACGGCAGACCACCGCAGGCGGCGATAAAATCGATAACACGATAAGCAAACGGCAACGACGAAATGGGATCGTTGGCGCTGTGGCGATGCAGTTGACATTTACGGTTTACCGTTTGCGAAACCCTCAGACTCCAAAACGTAGCCTAGACGTAGTTCCATGGTAAGCCCCACGAAATGGATCCCTCGCCACCGACTCTCTGATTTCTGGCCAATATGGTGTAGCATATCGGTCAGCGTCATAAAATCTCCGGTATCCATTAAAAGTTCGCGATCATCAACTATGATATGCCGTGTGGATTTACGAAGGCATGTGAAAACAGGTGCCACTAGAAAGTAATTCAGTCGGTTGTGGATCGCACAGTATTTGTCAGAGCTTGCAACAACGATGCATGACGCCACCAAAGGTGATTGTAAGATGCCGTTCCACGCAGAGCAGACGGTGCGTAATCTGGTCTGTGTCCTGGTATCCAAATGGCAAAATACGCCCACTAGCACATCTGGCGTTAGCACATGTACGTCACCGATTTCTGCGCATTCCCAGAAGAAATCTGTCAGCTGCCGTTTGATGTGTCGTACATGTGAGGTTAACGCGTCATAGTAAGGAAGAACCACCTGCGGGAAAATGACCTTTACTTTTTACTGCTCGTATCACTATTCGTATCAAATTTCACGGATTAATAGTATCTTCCAGGAAATTCTCATACATCGAAGGTTTGCAGTAGAGAAAAAAATAAATATAAAAGTACTCTTCCACCGAAGACATATCCCCAAGAAAAATACTTATCCGCAAAAGGTTTAAAGCAGTATGAGTTTGTACCTGCGCGAGGGTGCGCATTGCTCCGATGCTGTGTATCCAGAGACTCCACCAAAATGACTCCAGGCGCCAATCGATAACGTCCCCAAAAGACACTGGACAGCGATCGGCGCACATCACTCTTCGACGCAATTGCTCGACAGCAACGATATCCGTATACTGCAGATCACTTCCCCATTGGACGATGGCTACACTGCACGTATGATGGCGGATGCCGCGCGTTACATTAACAATTTCCGTAGGGAACCACGTCCATGCGCCACCGGACGGTTCACACAAGAGAGTTTCAACGGGAATCGTCGTGGAGGGCTTGGCGTAGGCGTACGCATTGGCAAGGTCCTTCTCCGTTAGCGACTTGGCCATGCGGAAAACGCGGTTGAACGGGGTGAGTTCGCGTTGGCCGTTGGTTCCGAGGAATTCGATAAAGAGCCCACTGCCAGTCGCTTCAGCTACACGGCCAACACGAAATAAACCGTCTTCGCGCAACACGTCGACGTAGTTCGTACGAAACATCGTCAAGATCTGCTAATGCCCAGTCTTCAGCTCACGACACGTAAGCAAATAAAACACTGCTACACAAGTTTGAGTGTAATAAGAGCGTTCACAGAGAAAAAACTGCCAACAAAACTACCGCTAAGTTAGGCATTCATGATCGTTTTACCCTTAAAAACCTCGTATTGATGCTACTTTGCCGTAATTTCATTAGGATCGTTCAGTAACACTTTCCAGTTCCATGCACGACCTTGAAGAATGCCTACCTTTTTAGTTACGCAAGTCCTCAGGCGTTAGTTAAAGCTCGTTGCTGAAATCCGCTTGAACCCGCTTTGTTACAGTGACGTACGACGGTATGAATACTATGTCGTCTTCCGGATGTAATTTTCTGATAACATCTAACGCCACTACAGAGTACATAGCACGGAACAATTTGGCTAATTGACGACTGTCGAATGCTAATGCTCGCCAGTTGGCAGTTGCCTATCACCCGTTCTCGTTAACGGGTGCATTGCAGAACCAATTCAAGAGAGACAAGCTGAAAAGGGCGGGTGATTTTCATCTCGAAAAGTTAAAACAGCAACAACTGTCGGCTGTAGCCTTTTTCTAGAATGCCGAACTAATTCCCGGCACTCGCTCGCCCCCAGATCCATACAGTTATAAAAGTGCTCTTGGCGGCACTTTCATCAATTTTTTAAATTTTACTTTATTCATTTTTTTATTTTATTTCTATCTTTATAAATCAATTCACTGCGCATTCCGATTTGAACCCAAAGGGATCCCCCAAAATTCATTACACCTTGTTACTGGCACTACTGTACAGTAATTACAGACGTCATAGTGATATTATGCAAAACTGGCATTTTAAACTGCTATCGCTGGTTGACAACCGCAACAAGAACAAACTTATCCACAAGTAAAGCATGAAGCAGCTAGAAAGTATTAGTGTTGCTTTCACTTTTGCATTCAGGAAAAAATACAGTTATTTATTATAGTTAAAGTTAACAGACTACAGCGACTGGAAAATAGGCAAAGGCATCCTCAAAATATCTACAGAATTTCTAAGACAAAAACATAGCATTAAACAGCCTGCCAGAAAAACTCACGCACACTACTACTACTACGGCTTCAGTCTTCATCACTCATCAGAATCGTCATCCGTCGAAGAACAGTGGTCTGACCCGCCGTCACTGTAGTACGATTCGGCATCGTGGTCGCTTTGCGCAAAATATTCAGACAGTTCAACCAGGAAGTGCAGCGCAATCGAAGACAGTCTCTCCAGTTGCAAATCGTCGAGGCCGGCAACGCACCATTCCTTGCCACGGTAATGGGACGATGGACGCGGGTCAGCTGTCTGCGTCGCACACAACATCTGCAATATATAACCCGAATGATCAAATCGTGTCAATCCTAACCGAAAATATATGTCTACATGTTTTGACGGGACTATCAAGGCTATCACATCCGTCAAGCATTTTTAGTTTTCTTCAAGAATGCTAGACGATTGCCACGAAATTCCAGAAACATGAGTAGAGTACTGCGACTGCTGCTAGGAAATCCATAAAGCCAACGTGCCTTATAGAAAACCCATGCAATACATGCAATATATGTGCCAGCAATATTCGAACCTCCTTACAAAAATTTTTTTCGCAGATCAGAACGATTCCCTCGGAATCTTATCACTTCGAAGGCCGACGTATGTTGTACGAACCACCGGCTCTACTTACCCCACAGACCAGTTCTCTCTCGAATCGCTGATTCTCCTCAGCACGGATAGAAGTCAGCCACTCTGACAAGGTAAACAGCTGCTCCTCACTGGGTTTCCTCCAGCCTCCCCTTAACGCATCCCTCCAGGGCATCCCACAGCGCTCGGTTCAAAGCATCATTCAAAGTCAAGCGGCAATCTAACCGGCGAACCGAGAGCTCCATCTTGTCCGGTTCCTCCACATACGGCTGTTTCATAGCGTACTCCAGAACTATAGTAGAGTTGACCAGATGAATGGAATCGCACAGCAGACCACCGCAAGCAGTGACGAAATCGACCAGGCGAGAGGGGGAGCTCAAAAGGCAGTCGGTACTGTCGGCGCCGTAGCGATGCAGCTTACACTTCTCGGGATAGTTTGCAGCCTGGCCGAGTCGCAGTTCTAAGTGCACTCCCGCTAAATGGATCGTTCGCAATCGGGTCCCTGTTTTCTGGCAGGTAAATTGTATCCCATCAGTCAGCGCGAGGAAATCGCCGGTGTTTGACCAACCGCGAGTGTCAACGACGATATGTTGAGTGGATTTGCGAAGGCACTTGAAAACCGGTGACATGAGAAAGTAATCCTTCGGGCTGCGCTTCCTCTGATAGGCATTCTCTTCGCAGGAGAAGTCAACAGTTACAACGATGCAAGCCGCCAACACTGGTGACTCCAGGATCCCGTTCCACGCAAAGCAAACGGAGCGTAATCCGGTCTGCGTTCGAGTATCCAAATGAGCGAAAACTTCCAGCAGCACAGCCGAGGGTAGGACATGTACATCGTCAATTTCCACAGACGGTGTGCTTTCTTCGACCAACATTGCAGTAATTTTGCCTACACGTCTGGTAAGGAGATCTTCATACATACTGACGGCGGCCTGCAAAAAATGATATTAAAAGCTCCTGACAACGAATTATAAGCGGAAACTATGAATAGGCTGAGTGCTCGTTATTTCGGTAGAAAAACTCGAATGAGTCCTTGCTTCTCAGTGCCTTCATACCAAGTTCTTGAAATAAAGTTACCATCAGCGCATTAAACAGTATTCGGCCCTTACCTGATCCCGGGGGAAATAATACCACTTTTTACTCGGCCGACGAACGTACCACACACGTCCGTCCATCACGGCCGCGAAGGAAACCGGTTGGCCTCCGATCTCCAAATAACGGCATGCTGGACCATTTAAGTGCTGGAGCAGTTTGTCGACGTCCACATCGCGGCAGTTTTCCGGAAACGCTGCGCTATGTTTCTCGAAGGTCCCTGGTTTGATTAGCTTAGGCCGCGTGACCATTTCGCTTAGCCTATAGCCGCCGTTATGCCATTTGTTTGAGGCTGAATGCTGCGCTGGATCCTTTCGACCGATAGTGGCCCACCATTTGCCTGCCACTCTCCACCGCAATCGCTCCAGAGGAACCAGATCCATACGCGGAATATCCCCTATCCACTGTACAACGGCTACGCCGCATGCCGTCTGCCGGATACCCCGTGCCATATTGATGATTTCAGCCGGGATCCAGATCCACGGACCGGAGGGTGTCTCGAGCACCAGGGCATCCACGGGAATGGTCATGTTGGGTTTGGCGTAAGCGAAGGCAGTGGCCAGGTCTTTATCCTTCAATGTCTTTTTACTCTGGAAAATTCGGTTGAACGGGGTGAATTCGCGTCGTCGGTTGGGGCAGAAGAAGTCGACGAAGAGCCCGTTATCCGAGATGTCCACCACTCGTCCGTTGCGGAACAGGTTATCGTCGCCCAAAACGTCAACGCGGATAGTACGGCCGACATCGTCAGACATCGTTGTAGGGTGCGCGTGTTTCGGCGTGAATCGTGAGCACTAGGCGAAAACCGAGTAAGCAACGAACACGCAAATTAAACGTTCAGGCAGTTTTGTGTCTCGTTAAATCGTTTCATCACTTAACCCGGTAATCCGTCCGATTAAGAAAATCTACAAATTTTGCAAATCGGAAATTTCTTAATCGGGAGTAATTAAGAAACTTAAGTAGTAAATGGCTTAAAATCGGTCTGTAGTGGTACGACTGTATGAGTACACGTTCTGCCCGTAAAATTACAGTATTTGACTGAGAAAATTGTACGGCTATTTACGGCTCAGCCAATGGCAGCTTTCGTAAGCTTACATTTTAATTTTAACTTAATCGGTTTAATCACCCCACGCAAAAGTCAATGCTCGATGTGTTTAGTATATACATTCTGGATACCAGTTCACTGCGCAGACCTATCAGAACGTAAATGAATCATCTTTTAAAACCATCATGCACTGGTACGCGCAGTACCCACTTTATAAAACCAAATTCAAAAAAATGACCTTACTGCGTAGCTAAAAGTACCTCGTACTCGTACTGCAGAGTTGTACTCAAACTTTAACTTTTCACGTAAGAAACGTTGATTATAATTAACACACAGCATCTAGCTGAAAGCCAAAAGCCTAATACGGTATTTTCTAAGCAGAAGCACAACACCAGCGTTAACCACACAACAAAACCACTTGCGTTGCGCGCACTAATGTCTCGAAAAAAGCGGACCTTAGACTCGTCATTTGTCCGACAACATGCCGCGCTTTAGCTGTCGTACGGGTCGTCATCGTTAGACGACAGTCTCTGAGAATATTCCGTCAGTTCGACCAAAAAGTGCAGCGCAATCGATGAGAGTTTATCCAAGTGCAGATCTTGCAGGCCGGCAACGCACCATTTCTTGCCTCGGTAATTGGAAGAAGGACGCGGATCGGCTGTCTGCGTCGCGCACAACATCTGCAATGAAAAACCGATCAGCATGAGCGTCTTGCCGTCTTTGAACAAAAAGCAAACTAAAGCATGTTGTAACAACAAAAAACAAATTGAGGCTGTCCTTTCTGATTTTCCGGAAGACGTATTTATAATTTGTTCAAGACTACACTATTCAAGGTTCAAGGCCACACTTACCATGCATGCAACGAGCCGCTCGAAGCGCCAGCTCTCATTATCAGTAGCCGTCAGTAACCATTCTGATAACGTGTCCAGGTGCTCCCTAGTAATCTTCACCATGCCGTTCTCCAGCGCGTTCCACACCGCGTTGCCCACAGCATCATTCAACGGCAACTGAACAGCAAAGAGTCCCACCGATACCTCCATCTCCAGGGGGTCCATAATGCAGATTCATAGTGCAGTCGACCAGATGAAGGGCGATGCAAGAGAGACCAAACTATCGAACATTCACCTGTGAAAACAGTGCTGCAGAAGTTTGGTACAGGTGTCGGGTTTTCGATTTCGGAAATCTCTTTTCGACAATCTGTTTCTGCGAAACTACTCATAATATAATGATAATAGAAGTACTTACTAAAGTAAAACTGCTTAAAATATACATGCAAACTAATGCAGGAAATTTGGTGCTGTGACAAAAGCAGGCAGTTGGCCTAAATGCACGGGTACCTGAAGTATTGTACATGTGGGGATGCTTTGATCAGTCTTACCTACGAGCACTGTGTAGCAGAGGCGGCTGGAAAATCAGCTGTTTTCGTATTTCGGACTGGTGTATAATGCCACCATAAAACGATAACAACAGAGACGAAAATTTTTGTACTGTTACCGAGTGTTCCAGAATGTGGGCAAATGAATGATGCATGTAGAACAGGATCTTCGTTCGCAAATTTCGAATTGAAATTCTGACTAACATTTTAATGCGTATTGAAGCCGTTGGTGCCGGTGGGGTAGTCTTATAAATGAAACATTCATTCGGATTTGGCACACTTCCTAACGTTGCTACTCGTATTTAGTGCGCAATTTCATTCTTTATCCCAGTCCTGATGGCAACGCATTTACTACTTTTATAAGACTTAGTACGAGTGCATTAGCAAACACGCTTCAAAATCTAAAAGATGGTCAAAAGACAAAAGGCCGAAAAATCGACTGAAATTATTTTTGTACTGATACGGTGGTACCTAATACTCGTGCTGAAACGTTTTTTTTTGTAAGTACGAATGTACGATAAGATGATAGGTCACACACTTGAGCTGAAATCGCAAGATCGTTAATACTACAAAATTATTAACAATTCCGAACTATCAGTGCTTTCGCTACAGTTAAGCGAAGAAAATAATATTGGAATTATTTATTATTCAGAGCTCATACAAAAGTCAGGATTTGCAAAAAAATGAAAAGTGCTGAAACGCCAAAGAATAATTATGCCGCCGTGGTCAGCTAGAATAGAAGAATAAAAGGACGTTAGGAATTAACAGTGGCAACAAAAAAGATTCGCCCGATGCATGTTCGAAATAAAGCACAGTAATTATGAAAGTCTTAGATTTCATCAGCACAAAACCAATTAAGGGGTTTCTAAAGTCAATCGCTAATGCCGACAAGGAAACATTCGAGTACGTACAATACGCCATACCACAGAACACGTACTAATACTCAAAAGTGAAGAGATTGTCGACGTCGTCATCCATCGCCGACGTTCGATAAAAGAATTCAGCCAATTCGACCAGGAAGTGCAACGCAATCGGAGACAGTTTACGTAACTGCAGATCGACCAGGCCATCGGTGCACCACTCTTTGCCACGATATTGCGAAGAGGGACGCGGGTCGGCTGACTGCATCGCGCACAACACCTACATTGTGAAACCGAAAAGCTGGGGTGTACTGAAAACTTAAAGAAAATGGCCATTAGAACACAGTTATCACACCGGACAATTCGAAATCTTCAATACTTCGTAATTTTGAAATTATTATTAACATTATTTATTGGTTAACTCCAGTAGGGAGTTAAAAATTACAGTAATACGGCGTAATTCCTGATCTGTTTCTTTTGCAGTATTCATGCATGCAAAATTGTCAGACGGGCTTGTGCCAATTGAGCTAACGATAAAAACCCACCGCTACGACCGCACTCACCGCGCAGGCCAGTCCCAGGTCAAAAGGCTGGCTCCCTTGGGCAGTAATGGATGACAACCATGTCGACAACATGTCCAGTTGCTTCCCACTAGGCGTTAACACACCTGCTTCCAATGCGTTCCACACAATGCTGGCCACATCACCGCCCAACGGCCACCTGACTGTTAGTAGGTCAACCCGCAGCTGGATTTCGTCAATAGCGCCCATCGAGTGGTCGATCTTAACATAATCCAAATGGGTAGTACATTTGACCAGATGAACGGCAGCGCACGGCAGATCACCCAAGGCTGCGATGAAATCGGCAAGGCGGTAGGTGGAACACTGGCGTCTGGCCACGTCAGAGCTGTAACGATGAAGTTGGCATTTGTCAGAGGGATAATCCGCAGGATTGCCACATGGCAGTGTCAGACGGAGTCCCACTAAATGGAGCGCTCGCAGTTGACTCCCTCTTTTCTGGCCAGTGTACCGCAGCATGTCAGTCAGCAGCGCAAATTCGCCGGTATCCAATACTATCCATATAACTGTTACGACCATCTACAAGGATGTGCTGTGTGGTTTTGCGGAGGCGTTTGAAAACAGGAAACGTTAGTAAGCGTTGCAGCCGGCTACGATCCCAATACAAGGAGGTATGGGAGATTGTAATAACGATACAGCCCGTTAATACAGGCTCCTCTAAGATGCGGTTCAATGCAGAACAAACGGTGCGCAAACCAGTCTGCGTCCTAGTATCCAACTGGGAAAATATTTCCAGCAAAACAGCGGGCGTTAGCTCGCGCATATCAACGATATCCTCGCGTTCCACCGATAATGTGCTTTCGGGGGTCAGCATCCGAGTAATTTTCAGGATGTATGCTGTCACTGCGTCAAATTCATCCATCCCGTACTACAAAATACAGCGATATTCGGTCAGACCATCACAAGCGGGGAAAAAACGAGACGAAGTTTTTGAGTTGCCAGAATTCACAAATTAGAAACGCTCTTTTATGGAAATTCCAACTAAATGCAGATTTTTATATGCTTTTAATTTTAAAACGGTTTCTCGGAGAAAAGCTACATCGGCAAATTGCAACAAATTCAAACAGTGTTTTGCGGTTACCTTTCTTTTCTGAGGCGGTTCGCTATATCGATTTCGACAAATATAAGATACTCGGCCGTCCAGTACATCCACGAAATAAATCGGATCATTCGGATGGCCGTAGTGCTTTTGGCGATTATCCGCTTTCCCGTTCAAGTGATGCAGCAGTCTATCGGCATCCACATGGCGACAGTCCTGCGGCAATGCCAGATTGTTCTTCTTAAAAGTCCCTGCTTCAACTTGCTGAGGCCAAGTTACCAATCCGCTTAATTGAGAGCCTTCATCAAGCCAGTTGCCCACCGTCGAAAGTGGGGCAGGGGCTTCTCGGCCTGCGGAGGCCCACCAGTGACTTGCCACTCTCCACCGCAGTCGCTCTAGCGAAACGAGATCCGTACACTGCACCCCATGCAGAAATTGGACGACGGCTACGCTGCACTTTTTAAGCGGAAGTTTGCGCGGAATATTTACAATTTCAGCGGGGAACCAGACCCACGGACCGGAGGGTGTCTCGGGCACCAACACGTCTACGGGAATGGTGACGTCGTGTTTGGCAAAAGTACATGCAGTAGCCAGAACATCTTCGCGCATCACGGACTTTATATCCTGGAAAATGCGGTTGTATCGGTAGAACTCATGCTGTCGCCCGGGACATAACTCAACGAAGAGCCCGGTTTCGGCAACGTCTACCACCCGTCCGCTGCGAAACAGGTTGTCGTCGCCCAAAATATCCACGCGGGAAGTTTGGTCGACACAGCCAGACATCTTCCGTTCAGTCATCAGCAAGTTCAGAACCCCAAGAATTACAAAATCACAAATTTGGAACGAATTAGTCCGAATTTGCGGAATTTAAATGATTGCAGGGTCCTCGTTGGCTCTGCTAAAAATTAGAACTGACAACTTTACCGAAAACTCAAACTGATATGTTTCACAGGCGTCACAAATGCGGCAGCTTTTTATTCGTTATCTCCGCCATCGAGGCGCCACATTCCGATATTTGCTACACTTAGTTATAAACCCATACCTGAAGGCTGAAGCTAACAGCAAATCTTTGTACGATTGTAGTGTCCGGTCGTACGTATATATACAAGAAACAGCTGCGGCTTCGCCTCCGCGTTTCTTGTGATCCTTAGCTACTTTATTTGATTTAGATTGAATATTAGCTCGGTCAATCGTTTACCTAACGGGCTCCGTACACCGGACAGCAGCGTTAACTTGGTCTTAGAAGCTAGCCAGCGTTAGTATTGGCATTAGCTTAGAAGAAACAGATGGGCTAGATGCGAAGAAACAGATGGGATTAGACATTCACGTAGCGTTTTGAGCACTAGATAGTGGTGGTAGCTCGGTCACTCACTATGTCAGTTAGCGATCGGGCTCTCTGGACAGTAGTGGTAACTCGGTAACTCACTCACTTAGTTAGCGATTTTGCTAACTGGACAGTAGTGGTAACTCGGTAACTCACTCACTTAGTTAGCGATTTTGCTAACTGGACAGTAGTGGTAACTCGGTAACTCACTCACTTAGTTAGCGATTTTGCTCACTGGACAGTAGTGGTAACTCGGTAACTCACTCACTTAGTTAGCGATTTTGCTCACTGGACAGTAGTGGTAACTCGGTAACTCACTCACTTAGTTAGCGATTTTGCTCACTGGACAGTAGTGGTAACTCGGTAACTCACTCACTTAGTTAGCGATTGTGCTCACTGGACAGTAGTAGTAACTCGGTAACTCACTCACTTAGTTAGCGATTGTGCTCACTGGACAGTAGTAGTAACTCGGTAACTCACTCACTTAGTTAGCGATTGTGCTCACTGGACAGTAGTAGTAACTCGGTAACTCACTCACTTAGTTAGCGATTGTGCTCACTGGACAGTAGTAGTAACTCGGTAACTCACTCACTTAGTTAGCGATTGTGCTCACTGGACAGTAGTGGTAACTCGGTAACTCACTCACTTAGTTAGCGATTTTGCTCACTGGGCAGTAGTGGTAACTCGGTAACCCACTCACTTAGTTAGCGATTTTGCTCACTGGGCAGTAGTGGTAACTCGGTAACCCACTCACTTAGTTAGCGATTTTGCTCACTGGACAGTAGTGGTAACTCGGTAACTCACTCACTCATTTAGCGATTTTGCACGCTGGACAGTAACAGTAGCGATACTACAAATGTGCCGGCAACGAAAATCGATAGGCTACCTTGTGATTACTTAATTACGTGGTTGGTGTTGTACGAAAATAAGTTCAATTTATTCCGTTAAATTTGCGTATATAATAATTTATGTTGCGTATTGTTTTCAGGCAAAATTTTTCTAAGTTCCAAGGTCACCTTGAGACTGGGTTGGATCGTTTGCGGCATCGTGCCGGCACGATTCTGATTGAGCGTATTCAAAAACAAAAGTCATGTGACGAAGTTCTGGACCACGGCCGATCTAACTGTGGTATCAGATTTTGCTAAAAGTTTCTGGTTAGAGAGATCCCCAGACTGTGGGGAGGCCGCGCGTACTATTGATCTTCTTCCTAATATATGTTTGAGTATGACGCACTTGTATTAATTATGTAATGAGGTCGGTATTTAAGCACCCGGTCCACTCAATGGGTTCGGCCATTTTATCTTTACTCTTTTGACTGCACCTTTGCGGCTTTTCCTCCGCCGCCATGGATACCCTTCAACATCCTAATTTAATACAAGCACCATGCAGCAATAGCAGCTTTCAAAATTTTCTGACGCGGTTCAAGAATAGTGGAGCTTCAACACTCAGTATAGTGCCGTCAGTTGCAAGCTTTCTTCGTGCCGTGCACTACAGATATCTTTAAATTTTACGTTGTTTTACTGTTGACATAATAATTATGCTAAGATAGCGTAAACTTCAATTAAATAGCAATATGGTCCTATGGATAATGTTTCATCGTAAACAGTGTGAACTAATAAAGAATTCCCACGGCAAGGATAAAAACTTCTTATGCGGAGTGAAATGGCACATAAAAGCAGATAAACGTCAAAGGTACGAGTAAAAATGACTCACCAGAATCAGTTCTCCAGTAAAACCGTGCAGGCCGGCACGGCATATAATGTACTACTCTGTTAAAATTCACTGTCAACAGCATTCGAAGCCCAGTTCACTGTTTGATGTTTTGTTTTTTAACATTAAAAATTTTTATCAGATTAATAATTCCTTGCGCAAGCTTATTACAACGCGAACGAATCACTCCGTAAGTTATTACGAGTACTCATTGTTACTGGTAGTGCCGACGTCACAGACGCAAAATCCGATAAAAAGAAACTTCTTCCTCACAAAGGCATGCAACAGGTAAAATTAATATCGATACTTGTATCTTATCATTCACTGCCATTGAGGAAAAAAAGTACAATATTTATCTTAATTAACAGACTGCAACTAGCGAATATAAGCGAAAACAGACGCCTCATAATGCGGTGTTATTCTAAACATAAAAAGAAAAACACAAGATAAAACGGACCTACAGACTTATTTACACACATTAAAAACTCGAAAAAAAGTTTTCTGAAATTAGTGTCATCTGACTCGTCATCCGCCCAATGGCATGTCTCGCCCTAGCTGTCGTACGAGTCGTCATCGCTTGTCGACGGTCTATTGAAAAAATCAATAAGCTCGACCAGGAAATGCAGCGCAACAGAAGACAGTTTATCCAGCTGCAAATCCTTCAGGCCGGTAACACACCATTCCTTTTTGCGGTAATGGGAAGTAGGACGCGGGTCGGCTGTCTGAGTCGCGCACAGCACCTGCAAGTTGCAACGTCAAACCGATCAGCATGGCGAAAGACTTGTCGCTCGTAACGCCGTACATATTTCAACGGAAAACTAAATCAATGCTCTCGCTGTTATCTATCTAGTATGTTATTTTTCTACTGAATGCTCTTCATACAAGTGTCAAAAGTCCGCTTTTAAAAAGTGAGACTTGGAAGGAAAAAAATAAAATGATAGAAACTTACATTAAGAGTTCCAGCGAACTGAAACGGCAGTGTATGTACAAATAAGCGAGCCCGTGGTAGCACTTACCCTGCCAGCTAGTCCACTCTGATAACCTCGACCTTCACCAGCAGTGACCGATTTCAACCACATTGCCAATCTGGCGAGTTGCTTCCCATCCAACAGTGGCAGGCTTCTCTCCATCGCGTCCCACAACGCGCTACCCAAATCATCACTCAGCGGCAACTGCGCCGCTGCCAGCTCAACCGACAGCTCCAGCTCCTCAGCCTTCTCCAACTCTTCATCTCTCCACGCATATTCCAAATCGAGAGTGCAGTTAACCAGATGCAGGGCATCGCAAGGCAGATCCCCACAAGCTGCGGTGAAATGGAACAGACGATACGTCACCCACTTGAAATCCCTTGAATCTTCGGCCTTATAGCGATGCACTTGACATTTATCCTTATAGCGAAAAGCGTTGCCGAACCGCAGTTCCAAGCGCAGCCCCAGTACATGGATCGCTCGCAAACGGCTCGCTGTTGTTCGGCCCACATAGCGTATCACATCAGTCAGCATCAGAAAATCGCCGGTGTCCATCCAGTGTTTGCGATCGTCCACAACGATGTGCTGCGTGGATTTACGAAAGCACTTGAAAACAGTTGCCATTAGAAAGTAAAGCGCCTGGTTGCGAACCACCAAATAGGCAAGGTTATTGTAAAAGCCGGTAACCACGATGCAGGCCGTTAACGTCGGTAATTCCAGAATGCAGTTCCACGCAGCGCAAACGGTGCGCAATCTGGTTTGCGTAATGGTATCCAGCTGGGAAAACACTTCCAGCAGCATTGCTGGCGGTAGCACACCCACGTCGTCAATTCCCACAAATCGAGTGATTTCTTCTGTCAGCATCCCACAAATATTGCGTATACCGTATACGTGAAGTTAAAACCTTATGATATTCGGCAGCGTCGGCCTGCAGAAAAATGATGAGATTTTGGCAAGAGAATTACGAGTAACGTTATAACATGCCTTCAGAATATTATTTTCTTCAAAAACCAAGTACCGCTAAAACACAGAATAGCATTATTTCAGCAATTACCTCATCAATTAGAAAATGATTCCAATCTTGACTCCATCGCCGAATATACGACACGCGTCCGTTCATTACGTCCACGAAAGATGCTGGTCGGCAGTCAGAACCTGAGCGTCGCCAGGCTCTGCCATTTAAGTACTGGATCAGTTTATCAACATCCACATGGAGACAGTCTTCCGGCAACGCTACACTATGTTTTTCGAAGGAACCGGGCTCAACTGGCTTCAAGTAAGTGGCCAGTAGTTTGTTCAGGACAGCGCTACCATTATGCCAGTTGTATGAGGAAGGAAGCTGGGCTGGAGCCTCCTGGCCTACAGTGCCCCACCAATCGCTTGCCACTCTCCAACACAATCGCTCCAGCGGAATCAAATCCGTACAGGGTTCGCCATTATGCATCCATTGGACAACGGCTACGCAGGACGCTGTGGGGCGCATACCGCGCGTTACATTGACGATTTCTGCCGGTAGCCAGGCCCATGGACCAGAGGATGTCTGGGGCATCAGCATTTCCACCGGAATTGTCAGGCCGGGTTTGGCGTCAGCGTACGCAACGGCCAGCTCTCTATCCGCCAGTGGCTTCCTGCTTAGGAAAATTCGATTAAACGGGATTAGTTCCCGTCGACGGTTGGGACAGAAGAAATCGATGAACAGCCCGTTGTCAACAACATCCACCACGCGGCCGCGGATGAACACATGGTTGTCGTGCAAAACATCGACGCGCACAGTTTTGCGTACACTGTCAGACATGGTTGTAGCGTCGTCACTCGTTGACACGTGAAAATTGCTGTATGAAAATCGTGAAAATGGAACAATCCTGCAGAACCGCTGGATAAAGTGGTCTGCTTGAAATCTTTGGCGTACCCTACAGAAAATAAACGCATTGTCGTCCAGGAATACTGCAAACTGGCTTACTAATACCTGGGTATTCCAACTTTAGCGTTCGAAGTTCGAACTATCACTGACCTCGAAGGTGAGCACAACTACAGCTACCCAGGCAGACTGAAAACCTTGCGGAGAGATATTGCAGCAAATTTATGCGGAGGGCGCACGTGCTACGCAGGAGTTTTCCATTCACTGTCTCCGCCTTCAAAGTACTGGATTCGCCGCTTGCTAACAAAGCGGCTAAACATGCCGCTCCTTTATAGCACGATATCAAAGCGTGATAGTGCCGCTTCTTCGGAAGAAACCATGAGAATGCCGCTTTTTAATTATAATTATTATTATTCCACTACTGTAGCCAATTTTTCGCCAGATACAATGTAGTGGCGATCGCTGGTGGATAAGCGATCGAGATTAAGTACCATCAGCGATCATCATTCAAGGCGCTACTACTTGACATTTAAAAGTTCGTTTTAAAACCATATTTTCTCAAGTTTTTCTAGATTTCTTGGGTTTCTTTATTTTTATCAATTTCTGATGTTTCACATGCTTTTCTTATTTTCGTCGGCTTTCTTTTTGATTTCACAATATGTTCAGTAAAAACGCTTTGGAGCACTGTGTTCACTTTTGGCTGTTGAACTTTAGCATTGTTAGCAAACGTCTTGCATATAAGTACTAGTAGTCTCGTACCGATACTACCGATCTGTGGCCGAAATGCACGGTAGCCGATGTGAGCCTAGGCTGAAATGTACCTGTGTCGCTGTGTGGTCGAATAGCTGGCCGATTGAAGGACAGCCGAAGTGAACGGCGGCCGAAAGCGGCTATTTGACCAAATGGGAGTGTGGCCGAAAGGATTGGCATAACCCTTGAAAGCATAACGAAACCGGCAAAAGAACGTGATAATAAATATTCTTTATTTTCCGAAGTTTACAGTTTTACCATCAACTGGCATCAAGTCTACAGTGAAGTTCTCACCATCAGTTGTTTAACGACCTATTTAGTGCAATGCAAGCTCTTCTGCAGTCTTCATTCCTAAGCGCTTTTCCAAAAACTCTATCTACAACGCAACGCAACACACTATCTACAAAAATTTGGATTTTTCTGAATTTAGAGCGTCTGAATTGCACTGACGCTGAACAAAACATTTCGTTTAGCGTTCAAAGCTTGTTTTATTTGCTAAAAATATTTGGACAATCTCCTCATTGCCTTTCCCTCTGACTCAAAAATTACGGCGCTTCAGAAACTTAACAATCGAAATCGAAATCGGAATCTCATTTAAATTGAAATTTTATAATGACAGAGTACTGTAAGTATACGTGATTATGTACGTGATTATGTACGTGATTATGTGATTATGTACAGAGTACTGTAAGTATAGTTTAGCATACGGCACACCCGTTATAAAATGCTTCGTTTTACATACTAATGGTAATTATTTAACGTGTAGAATCGCAGATTTTCGGTACGTATAACTTATATTACCATAATGTACTGACATGTTTCCTTGCACCGAGCGCAGTGTCAGAATTCGATGCGTAAAATTTCTGGGAGATAAACGAACAGAATGTACTAGTAATGCAGTTTTTGGAACTTTTTAAAAATACAGTACTTCCATAGATGTACTAGCACGACACTTAGAAGCATGGGAATTTCTCCAGGAGAAAATATTGCCTTCTGGCTGCATGGCAACCCAAAATTCCTGTCGTATGTGTAGGTTGGCAAGAAAAGACGAGTCTCACGTTTCATTAGCTCGCTCATACTAAACTCTGACTAAATTAACTATTATCCATAATCCCGATTGCAATACTCGTTTCTCCCCTGCTGGGGCTGGGGCTAGTCCGGTTTCAGCTTGGCAGTGTGCAAATTATATCTTGGCTTATATGCTGCTGATAAAATATTATATCAAAATGCATTATTTTTAACAATGCAGATCAGCTGTAGTACGCCGTCAAATCAATAAATACAGAACAACAAGGACAAATCCCGTTTCCATCCTAAAGCATTCAACATAAAGTCGTCATGAAATTCATAAGGCTTTGATTCCCTTCCAGCCCAACCGTTTTACTTTAAAATGTTATTCCCGTGAACAACAGAAAATTATTATGAAATTCAATGCGCTGTATTACAGTCATCATTCAGGCGTTATGATAATATTCTGTGAGGTCACATTGCATTGGCAATTTGTAACAAATTTCCAAGTCAAATGTCTCTTTTCAGAGACGTCGATATGACAACATCGGATCCAGAAACCAGACATAACACAAGAAATACTGGGCAATAGCGATGAATATAATAAGTAGTACTTACATTAGCATTAGTTAAGTACGTACTATAAAATCAAATACTATGTAGTACTGTATTAAAGTTATCGTACGTGCCTAGTACGCATACTTAATCGCACTAGAGAATAGCACTATCGAGCAGTTATGATAATATAATTTGTATCAATTCAATTACGAGTTACGACTTGTGGTCAGAACTGTACAGAGTACTCTGTATACAGCAGTGCGCAGAGTACTCTGTAATAAATATTTTGCGCAAGTTCTTAGTTCTCACTAACCGCAATATATTCTGAAATTACTATAATTATGAATGTAAGCTGTTCAGTACGTAATTATTACAAAGCACTATCTGTATTGCACTTCATAATACAAAGGGAATGTCGATTAACAAGGAGTGGTTGCGCGTACCGGTGTCTTAACTAATTCTTTTAATTTGTTGAAGACTGAAATTTCGTAGGTGGTTTTTTTCCGGTTAGCATAATCATTGACCGGCCACCAAATTCAAACTGTCAGCTATGCGCTAGCATGTTAGCTATGCATTTGATTCTATTAATTGTAAGACAAAATTACAGTATGTATACACTAATGCACTGCATTTATAACAGAAAACACAAAAAGCTATAATAAGGCTACTCATCCAAAAAACAAACACAACAGTCGCGCCATATATCTGTACTATCGAACATTCCAAAAACAAACAGACTTTAAATGTAACAGTGAATGTGTACAGAAGCGAAAGTACTAGAATAGCGCTTATAACTATCTATTCAAATGACTTTTAAAAAGTCCATGAAGGCAACCGCCATACAGCGGAGAAATATGTTGTTTTGTAAGACAAAAGAAAAAATTACAAAGCCAAAAAAAATCCTACAAGTGTCGCCAGCACTCGCTCCGTGGCATTTAATAGTCTTCGAACTCATCATCCGAACGATAGTACGCCCCTCCGCAATAGTTGTCCGTATCGTGATCTTCCAGCTCATCGAAATAATCCATCAAGTCGACCAGGAAGTCCAGCGCAATCGGAGACAATTTCTCGAGCTGCAGACCGTTCAAACCGTCAACACACCACTCCTTGCCTCGGTAATGCGAGGGCGGGCGCGGGTCGATTGACTGCGTCGCACACAAGGCCTAAAACGCAAAACCGATCTGCTCAAAGGTTCCCATCATACCATTTCCACTCGCGATCAGCATTCACTAACAGAAACGGACAAAACCTACGCACTGCGTAGAGAATTTAGTTCTGGCGAACGTTTTCTTTGCCCTCTATTAATGCTCCGCACACCTATCTAATTTCTTACATGTAACTTGTTTATACCCATATCTCACAGATGAAAATAAAATTAGTTCCCGATGAAAGCGGTAAACCGGGACGGAAACTACTGTATTTTTCACATTTCAAGCCCCATCTCTCCGAGATAAGCCTCTTCCGGTTTTGTTCAAAATTCAGTAACCTCCTTCGCATTAGAAGCATCCCGCTATAAACACTGCATAGCAGTAGCGCTAGTTCAGAAGCTTTGAAAAGGTATAAGCCTCCCCTGGGCACCTCGGACAATTTAGTCTAATTCGAAAAATACGGTAACCAGTTGCTGCGAACTCAACATACGAACCTCAGCATCATCGACTATCTGTACACTTACGTTGCATGACAATTCTCGCTCGAAGTCCTTGCCTTCGTCAGCAATGACGGATGCCAACCACGTCGACAACGCGTCAAGTTCCGTCTTACGTGGCATCGGCACGCATTTCTCCAGTGCGTCCCACATCGCACTGCCCACCTCACCACTCAACGATACCCACACGTTTCGTAGATCGACCGACAGCTGAATCGTCCTCCACTCATCGACTTTAAAATAATCCCAGTCGAAAGTACATTTGACCAGATGCATGGCATCACACGGCAGACCACTACAAGCTGCTATGAAATCAACCAGGCGATAGCTGAGCGGGTCAAATCCACTGAACTGGTCAGCGTTGTTACCGTGCAGTTCGCATTTCGCAGACACGTGATCTTCCGAAACCATACGATTGCCTAATTGCACTTTGATGTCCAGTCCCACTACGTGGATTGCTCGCAATCGACAGCCTATTTTATGTCCGACATAGTGTATCATATCCGTCAGCGTCAGAAAATCCCCGGTGTCCATCGAACTTTTACGAGCGTCCACGACGATATCCTGTGTGGAAGGACGGAGGCAGTTGAATACAGGTGCCATCAGAGAGTAATGCAGTTTGTCACGAGTCGAAGCATCGGAATTTTCAGGGCGTGTTACAACGATGCAGGCCGTCAACACAGGCAATTCCAAGATAGCGTTCCATCCAAAACAAACGGCGCGCAAACTGCTCTGCGTCCGAGTATCCAAATGGGAAAACACTTCCAGCAACACAGCTGACGACAGCAAGCGCACGTTGTCGCTCTCCTCCAGCTCCTCCGCGAATGCGCTTTCTTCGGTCAACATCCAGGTAATGTTGCGTATACGCGAGGTCAGTGCCTCATGACATTCACGGCTCTCGTACTGGAAAAATAAGGTTAGCTACCGTTAGAACGCACGATAAACGGCAACAGAAAAACAATTCGCACTGCACTGATCTAAAATTTTGCACTACTTCAAATTTAGAAATAATGCCACTTAGTCAAGAAATTTTTTTAGATCATGACGTTTTCAGTAGCCATTTAAATAACATTATAGAGAGATACCCTGCTGCCATGACAGAATGTTGCTCCTAGTGCGCACTAGATGTTACTGTTTCAGTTACCAGAGCGAGGTCAAGATAATACTCATCCTGGTACTGAATTTTGGGCAGACATCGCCAAATATAAGACACAGTCCCATCTTTGATGCCCACGAACGAAACCGCACAGTTATCAGGCGCCGTCTGACGCAACGCTTTGCCATTCAACTGTTGCAGCAATTTATCCAGATTTACATGACGACAGTCGTCCGGCAACGGCATGGTACGTTTTTCGAACAATCCTGGTTCAACTGGCTCAGGCCGAGTGGCCAATCCATGATTCCCATAGTAATCATGCCAATTGTCCGAAGATGGAAGCTGAGCTGGAGTGACGCGGTTTTCAGTGGCCCACCAGTCGCTCGCCACTCTCCAACGCAGACGTTCCACCGGCACGAGATCCGTGCGCCGCTCCTCCTGCACCCATTGCACTAAAGCTGCCCTGCACCGCTCGTGACGGATACCGCGCGCCACATTGATAATTCCAGCGGGAAGCCAGGTCCACGGACCGGAGGGTGTGGCACGCATTAGAGCGTCAATAGGAATGGTCCCATCGGGTTTGCCATAAGCGCACGCATAGGCAAGACGGTCTTCGTCGTTCATCGACTTCTCAACCTGGAAGATTCGGTTAAACGGGGTGAATTCGTGTCGTCGGTTGGAACAAAAGTCAATGAAAAGCCCCTTGTCAGATACGTCCACTACACGCCCCCTGCGGAATAGGCTGTCGTCGCCCAAAACGTCGACGTAGCCGGGGTCCGACATCTCCGTAGCTTGAAAGTATCCAGTAGTCAGCAGACTTATCACCTGACGAAAGCCAAAAAATCGTAAAAATAAAGCAATCGGTAACAATCATGCTCCGGCAGCTCCGCCTTAGTGATTCCCTGTAATTCCTAGCCCGTCCAAAGTTAACAATCGTCGTGACTCGTGCTAAACAGGGAATGTACAGTGGAACCTCCGAGTTTGAACACCTCTAAGCGATGAACACCTCTGAACCTTGAACAGATTTTTTTGTATCGTCGTAATGCATAACACTGGCGGTAACCTCTGAGCCGTGAACACCACTGAACAAAAAATTGCGTACCGAGGGTGTTCAAGATCGGGAGTTCACTCTGTGCTCGGAAACGCTCATACCTATAGCTTGTTTGCCAACGGGCTGCACTTGCACTGGGGGCATATGGTTCTTACTTCTTCCTTTCGTATTTCTTCGGGAGTTTGTTTTATTTTAGGAAAATGCTTATGTATGGGCACAGAATCTAATAGTAATTGATTAAGCATTAATCAAATCTAATTTATTTCTGCTTTTATGAGCAGACCTGAATGGCCTGCATTCCTAAGACTCGTTGAGATTCTCAGAAACCTGTTGACTACGTACGGTGCTGAGAATGGATCCGACTAGGAAACAACACGATGAACACAGAAACAATGAAACAAACAAAAATTATCAAAATACGCACCGGAATTAGCAAACGGAAATGCTCAAAGCGGCGGATTTTCGTGCTGTAAATGTAGAAGCTCCGAGAACTGCAAGAACTACGCCAGTGAGTGCGAAGAAGTAAGAACTACCGTGTCACTACGCAAAAACTCTTCTACTGCAGTATGAGTGTTGACTCTGAGGCCGACTTCAGACTGAGAGCGCACGTGCTACAGAGATAACGTCGCCTCGAAGCATCCTATTCGCTGCAAATTAAGCCTGCAATACTGCATCTGCGTCATTGTTGTAGCAGATTGTTGTGGTGATGAGTGATGACTAATGAATGTTAACTCCAAGTACCAAGTACGCATAAAAATCAAATAAACAGCCGCCATTTTGGGAAAATTTCGAATTGTAATAACTCCATAACTCGTCCCGCGCACGCACGATGCCTCAATTTTTTTTATTGAAATTAGATGTCATTCTCTACATAAAACCGTTGCCCTGATTCAGTTAGTCTGTACAGGAGAGAAATGCCAAGCAGTTCTGGGCTTTTTGAGCTGGCACACCGAAACTTTTTACACAATTCCATTTGGCATCATAACAAACCAGCACGGCTTAATTTTTTAAGAGCAAGATTTCGCTAGTTTAGTAGCAAATTAAATGGTCTACCGAACAAGCCTAAATTGTTTTCTAGGCGACCCGTGGCCTGCAAAAAAACGAGTCAGAAGGGCTGACCGCCATTTTGTTAAGTAACTAAATAGCGTTCAGAATGATACGAGTACATACAGTTGTATAAGGACTCTGATAATTATACCGCCTTTGGGCCACTTCATCAGTTCAACATAGTAATGTTAACACTATAACATAACACTATTTTTATGTACGTACCGTACATAGTGATGGGGGCAACAAAAGAAAATGTATATCCAGTTGTGAAAACAATTACGCAGTCTGAGGCGAACAATCGTTAACTGAACGATCTTAAAATTCCTAACATAGGTGTTCCATTGGTGCTTTTTCCACGTCGTCGCCGACGCCGACGTCACTATCCATCGACTTTCGATAAAAAGTAATCTTAGACGGACCAATAAGTGCTGCGTAACCGGCGACAATTTCGCCAGTTCCAGATCCTTCAAGCCATCAGCGTTCCAATCTTTGCCGCGGTAATTCAAGAACGGACGCGGGTCCACTGTCTGCGTCGCGTTCAGCAACTGCATTGCAAAACCGATTGGCACGGGCAAGCACTCCTAATTCCAAGCGCCATTTACAGTAGAACACCACGTTCGTTTAACTTGTAACTGTAAGCCAAGATATCGGGTGATAGGGTTGTCATCCCACCAAAGTTCGGTACGTGGGATGTGATGGGAATGTGAACAGGAAGTGATGAGACCCTGTACCATATGGGAAGCTGCATGCATAACTATTTTTTAAAGAAAATCTACAGATGGTTCGATACGGTTTACGGCTCGAAATTCGCAAGTGAAGTTTCCCAATCGCAAGTGTCTGAGAACTTGGTTCTGTTAAATAAAGCAATATCTGGATGAAAGACTTATAAAAAAATAATACAGACTGTGGTACGAATAAAAATGACTGAAATATTTTATTCCAGATTTTCAGATTTCTGGAAATGTGGAATACAGATATCATTTATTCACACAGTTTTGGCTTCACCCATAATTTTCTTCGTACGGTCATCTAGAATGCTTACGTACCGTTTGCAATTTCTACGAAAGCTGCAAACGGAATTCTAAGGAAAAGTCTCCAGTGCCAAAACGCACAACGCAAAGTGTGCATCAGATTTCGTACATACAGTAGTACGATACCTTCCCAACAGGCCTTGCTCCGTGCGGAAATTTGGCTCTCATTAGCAGTGATGGACGTCAGCCAAACTGAAACGAGCTGTATGTAGATCGTATAGATAGTATTCTTATTATCAAAAGCTAAAGACTGATTTTTGAATTCCAAAAGAAAACACAAACCGGCTTGCTGTTTCACTGACTGAAACGGTTTTTGAGCTCAACCTTAACATAAACAGAAAGCTTCGCCAACGTCATACCACCAAAGTAAAGCTAAAAATTTCAGCTAGATTTTCTTCGAGAATCAAAACACCCCCAGATAAAGAACTCGAGTTTAGTGATCTCAGAGAAGCCAGCATAGATATGATGGCTGACTTCCATCGAAACGTCAGCAGGCGCCATACGCATTGTCCAGCCTAGATGCGCCATGCGTTACGCATAGTCTGGCTGCAATCTGTTATTCTGTATTGGTTTTGTTGACGGCTGTCTCACCGTTTTGCCCTATCGCGCGCACAGCATCCGCGGTTGCATTGATCTCTTTGCAGCTATAGTCGATGCTGCTGCGCTTAATGAGTTAAAAAACTGCGATAGCTATCGATAAAGCGCTATTTAACTTCTCGCTGAATGACGGTTGCGCAATCTCGCATCCGTACAGACGCGCCGTATAGCTCTGTATGGCGTCTGCTGACGTTTCGATGGAAATCAGCCATCTTATCTGTGTTGGCTTCTCAGGGATCCCAAAACTCGAGTTCTTTATCTGGGGGTATTTTGATTATCAAAGAAAATAGCTGAAATTCTAAGGATTCTAATGGTACCAAGTGTATGCTGATCTGACGCGGACGTGTTCGGGTATCTCCCTCGTAAGTATTTCTCGGCAACCTTTGTGCCAGACCCGTGTCAAACCTTTCAAAGGGCAGGTAGCAGGGCTAATAAAGAAATGTTTGCTGCAAATCTCAATTTTTACGGAGACCTTACTACGGCTGGTACTCCTTTGAGCCTTTGAGGTGACCTTTCTCTGAAAATCATTTTTACTTCCTTATGTGACGTCATTTCCGGCTTCCTTATACGACATAATTTTCTTTACTTCCTTATATGACGACATTTACTTCAAGCTGGAAGCATGACAAATTCCGACTCAGCTGTCGTATGCATGTGATGACAGGCTCTGTTGTCCGCTACCAGCGGGCAGCTAAAATGCCCATACCATTCAGTTGCAGCAGCAACATGCGGCAGTTCCTCGTTTAAGTAAGTACTGTAACCTACCACTCGGGATGAGCTTGGGCGAGTCTGATTTTAAAATCAATGAGCTATACAAGTACTAGTACTGTACGTAAGGCGCATACCTTTTGAGAAAATTTATGCCGAAGTACGTACTCTGTACTGTAATGGTGTGCATAATGGATCAACGTTTTGAAACCAAATGATTTAACTAATGTCTGTCAACGAACGTTCCCCAACAAATTATTTTAGTTTTTAGTTTACAACATAAGTAATTGGCTAATAACAGGCAATTGGCTAATTGCCACTTCGTACACCGGAAGCATGATTTTGGGACAAGTGTAGGACAGCAGCGTAGAACTGCCGTTCATTAAAAAATCTTTTTATCTGATTTAGCAGAATTTTCGTTACGTAACAAGTACGAAGATATTTTCGCAAGTGCGGAGTACAAAGATATTTTCGCTCGGTAATACCATAGTAGCGAAAGCGTACATTCTGTACTATCGTCTCGCAAAAACATTTTCGATACATACTGACCTTACGTTTATTTTGTTGCCGAGGTGGAGGTTGCTAATTCGAGGGCTAAAGCACATGTACTGATCTGCCACTACAGTCGACCACTGTCGGGTGGGCCGAACTTCGGAGTATCTCTGTGTTTATAAATTTTGAAAGAGGGGACGCGCGGTAGCCTCTGTATTGTGCATACAATGAGCGCTAGGAGAGCCTTAAACGTAGTGCATATGAAGCCGCATATGAATACTGGGCTTCATATGCACTACGCCTTAAATGAGTACGGTAGTCTGGCAAAGCGAGCATACTGATAACCATTCATTATCTCTAAAATATTTGAAAGCACAGATTGGATTACCGGAGTAAGCTGGTTTCAAGTAATGAAGGTGAACTTAAAATATGATATACTATTTTGTACAAGAAAAGCGGAGGCGAAAAGGAAGGCGCTTCTTATTCAAAGTACAGTTTCTTATTCAAAGTATGTACATCAGTTAACATAGGCATATACTATGTACAGTACCATTATGCTATTATATCGCTGCGTTTAGGTAGAATATACAGATCTGTACACTACACGTATATTGTAAGGCTACAACAATAAAAGTAGCAATATAAAACAACAGGAAGAAGATTGTGCTCTAAGAATGATAACAGGATAATGCTGGACAATATCTTTCTAAAATAAAATGCAATTTTATTCTAAAACAAAAGAAAAATATACAACTCTCGTCTCACGAGCAAACATTCAAAAACGAAGCGTTTTCAAATGTCATGCAGCCGCCGATAATCCGACCTATCCGAGTCGTTATTACTAGTCGGGTTTCCTAACAGTCTTCAAACTCAAAGTCAGTTCAACAGTCTTCAAAAGTCTTCGAACTCATCATCGGTCCGGTGAGTGGCCTCGCCGTACCAGTCATCACCTTAATCGCTCATCGAAAGTCCGTCAACAAATTTATACACTTCAACCAGGAAGTACAGCGCAATCGAAGACAGTTTCTCCAACCGCAGATCCTTCAGGCCATCAGCGCACCACTCCTTGCCACGATAATGCGAGGAAAGACGCGGGTCAGCTGACTGCGTCGCGCACAATGCCTACAATATCAAAGCGTTAAATTTAAAGCTCTTGTTTTACCGTTATCAAGAGAACCAGTCGTGTCTGGTGAGGTTTATGGATTCGCTTGGTTTTCTATGGAATATTTTCTTCATTTTGAAAATTACAGGTAAAATCCAATTACATAATTATTGTATTTCGTTTAGCTCGTGTCAATATCTAAGTAAACCGTCCAGTAGCGCATGCCGCATGGAGCTTGAACAAGATGAAAATGACAGGGATTCCGATGTCAATGACGCCATGAAAAATGAGTTAACGCAAAAGCATTAACATGCAAACGGAATCCCAAAGGCATGAAAACGCACATTATCAGTACTAAACCAAAGGTATGAAAACGCATATTCTCGACTAAACTTACGTTGCACCATTCTCGTTGAGAATGGCCCTCATTAGCCGCAACGAACGCCAAGAACATGGACAACGTTCGTAGATCTTTCGCACTGGGCTTCGGCACGCATTTCTCCAGTGCATCCCACATCGCACTGTCCACATCCCCATTCAACGAGAGCCGAACCCTTGAAAGGTCAACCGCCAGTTTGACTTCAGCCCACTTGCGTGCTTTATAAAATTCCCAATTGAAAGTGCAATTGACCAGGTGCATGGCATCGCAGGGCAGACCATCACAAGCGGAGATGAAATCGTCGATACGAGTCATAGGGGAAGCAAAAGGATCGAACTCAGGGTGGTTACGATGCAGTTTGCATTTATTATACATGTCGTTATAGGAAATCATCGCGTTGCCTAACTCCAGATCTATGCGAAGCCCCACCACATGCAACGTTCGCAAGCTACTCCCTGTAGTCTGTCCAACATAGTGTATCATATCCGTCAGCCTAAGAAAATCGCCAATGTCCATCGAACTGTTACGAGCGTCAACCACCATATGCTGCGTGGAAGGACGGAGGCATTTGAAAACTGGTGCCATCAAAAAGTAGTGCGATGTTTCGCGAATCGAGGGAGTGGAATTTCCGGAGGCTGTAACCACGATGCAAGCCGACAACTCAGGCGATTCTAAGATGCCACTCCATACAGCACAAACAGTCCGCAACCTGGTCAGCGTACAAGTGTCCAAATGGGAAAACACTTCCAGCATCACATCGGACGTCAGCACACGCACATTATCCGTTTCCTCGCGTTCAGCAGATTGTGCGCTTCCTTCGGTCAACATCCAGGTTATGCTGCGTATATGGGCGGTCAATGCGGAACGACACTCATCGATCTTGTTCTGGAAAATAAAGTAGGCTGCCGTTAACTATGAGCAGAACTAGAAATCAGGATTGTTCTTCACCATCCGAAATTTTTGAATAATGGCACAAGTCACAAATTTTAAATTCACCATAATACTTCAATAACCTTCTTCTAAAAAAGTTTTTATTCGGGCGGAAACATTCAAATCCCTAGCCAGAAAATGAATTTTCTTTCGGTTACCTGAGCGAGGTCAAAACAGTAGTCATTCTGGTGCTCGATTTCAGTCGGACGTCGCCAAATGTAGGATACATTTCCGTCATGTATGTTGACGAACGAAATCGCACGATTATCGGGCTCAGCCCGACGCCACGCTCTGCCATTCAACTGCCGCAGCAGGTTATCGGTATCTATATGGCGGCATTCTTTCGGCAATGGCACACTTCGTTTCTCGAAAATCCCTGGTCGGACTGGCTCAAGTCGAGTGGCCACTCTGTGCATCTGAGAGTAATCATGATGCCAGTTATCCCGTGCTGGAAGCTCGGCTGGAGGTTCCCGGCCTATAGTGGCCCACCAATCATCTGACACTCTCCAGCGCAGTCGCTCCAGGGGAACCAGATCTGTACGTGGCTGGCCATGAAACCATTCAACAACGGCTACGCTGCACCGCTTGTGGCGAATACCACGCGTCAAACTGATGATTCCAGCGGGAAACCAGGTCCACGGACCGGAGGGTGCCTCGCGCATTAGAGCGTCCACGAGTATGATCGCGTGGGGTTTGCCATAACCGCACGCATAGACAAGCTGTTCTTCGTTAATCAGCGACCTCACAACCTGGAAGATTCGATTAAACGGGGCGAATTCTTGTCGTCGTTTGGGACAGAAGTCAACAAAAAGCCCGTTGTCCGCTATGTCCACCACACGTCCAATGCGAAACAGATTATCGTCGCCCAGAACATCGACGTAGTTGTCTTGGTAGCCCTGGTCAGACATCACGGATATAGCTTGAAAAAGGTCCTTAAGCCAAGAGACCCAGCACCTGGCAAACATAATAAAATATCATAAAAATAAAACAAAATTGCCTTCTTCTTACACCGCTTTCGGTAATTTCCTGTAGCAGTGGGCGTAAATTCAGGTTTAAAAACAGACCAAAACTTCAAAAGATAACTTAATCTTCGCACTGAAAAACAAGTGTAAATCATTAAGGCCTCAGTCTCTGATTCCCTACTTATACATAAATATGTATCTACAAACTACAAAGTACAGACCCTGAACGCTTTCACCTACAACTTGTAGACCAGTTCTTCGACGTAATAATATTTTTCGGCAAACGCGCTGTCTCAGTCTGTTTATTTTCCTGAAAATGATTTTATACGCTAATAGTAACTTGGGTTTGGCTTTCTAAAGGTTTTCTGAAGCCATCTTCCATCTTATAATATCTTCAGCACGATTGTATGAGTAATAATGAGCAAGTAATGAGTACTCCTAACTCTTAAGTGGCATGCATGTAGACGTCATTACATGCCTAAGTAATACTCAAATAAATGCGGAGAAGTGGCGCATCCGTACTACGGACGGCGCTGATCGGAATGGGTCCGCTAATCGATTGGACGATCAGCTTCCGATGAGCGCACACCGAGACGTGACGCGAAGAACATAAACACAAAAATTACCTTATCACAACGGAATCTGCAAAAATCCAAAGGATAAGGAGGACGATTACTGTAACCTAAGAAAACCAGAAAATGCAAAAACTGAGGAAGTCGGAGTTTTACGAAGAGCTCCTGCTGCAGTATGAAAGCACAGCTTCTGCCTTCTGATGCATCTGAGTGCAGACTCCACCAGGAGACCGAGGACGAACTGCAGAGCGCAAGACCGAGAACGCACGTACTATGCAAAGAAAGCTTCCCATTGGATACCCCCGCCTTCGTGGGCAATACATCGGCACTCACACTGGTGTCGTTTATACTCGTATGAAGTAGAAGTATCGTATAAACAGGTCTGTAAAACATATGAATAATTTTCTCTTACCAGTTAGCGTCACTTAGCGATATACCGATAGAAGAGCCGCAGATGTACGCCACATCGCTTCCACGAAATGCACCGGGAGGTGATCAGAGTTTGCCAGATGACACGCTTGACCGGTCGAGTTTGCCAGATGACACGCTCTGTTATTGAAAAAAGTGAGATAACTTGAGGAAGTACCGCTAACTATAAACACTAACAATGCGTCGCCAGTCCCGTGTGAATGCTCACAGCCGGCGCGTGCCCTTGTGGATCATGCCACTGAATAACTAACTTTTATGTGTCATAATTCATGAGAATTGCACCGATTGTCTTTAGTACACTTGTTGTGCATATTGCAATGACACTTCTAAGCGGTCCCTAGTGGAGTGGGTTACACACCCTTACCAAGATCGGAAGTGCTGGTGGTGTTAACGAATTATTTTAAGATCGCTTATGTAATTAACCATTAACGAAAGTCGGCAACGGAACTCATTCTCAACGCGTATGCACACAAATTTAATCAGCTGAAATTCATTGAGGAAGAGCAAGGGCAGGGGCAAGAGCAAGAACAATCTTAGTTAGACATTTCCCAAACCAGTCTATAAATCCACGATAAAAGTGAACATTCGTAGATTTCGTACGATTACACATTCAGATGTTTCCGCTTCAACTAACATCAATGAAATGCTCATCCTAAGAAGAGTACTCGGGGGAAAGAGCATGGATTTTCCCCGTCAAATAGCATCCCCCGCCCCTTTTATCCCCGTCAAATAGCATCCCCCGCCCACGCTCGTACAAATAGCCTGGACTTCCGGGCAGCTCTCTCTCTCTCTCTCTCTCTCTCTCTCTCGGTGTGTGTGTGTGTGTGTGTGTTTGTGTGTGCTGTACCGTGTTACTTTCCGTTTCTTGTTTAACAAAGACCAACAGTCGGCGGCATTAATTTATTATCATTAATACAATAATTATTACCGTCACCACAACAAATTTCCCCACTAACAAAACTAACAAACAATAATGGCAATTACCAACATGCGCGACACCACTAATGACAAAACAACTACATGCACAACTTACTGCATACCAACGCAACAGTCAAAATAACAATGTAACAAACAAACGACAATGACCCACCACCGCGTCGCCGCCACCGCCGCCGCCGCCGCCGACGCCGCCATTTCTCCGCTCAAAACAGGCACACATTATTTATCCGTGGAGGCAAGAACGCCAGGTACGGGTGTGCTCGCTTGTTGTGCTTGCGCTCCACGAAGCGGCGCACACAACTGCTGCAGACGCTTCGCACGCCACTCTCCGAACGTCTGGGCCACACCGCGCAGCAGGTTGCGCTCCTCCTCCTGTAGCATCGCATACTTCCGCTGGGCATCCTTGTTGCCGGCCTCCACCACACTCTTACGCAACTCCCAAACCAGCCCCGGATCTTCTGGTCGCGCTCCAGGTTGGCAACGTCCGGATAGATGGGGACATATTCCGCTGCAATCCAGCGGAATTCTTTCTTCAGCGTCCGTGGCACTTCACCACGGTTGAAAGCCAAGGCAGCGTTCACGTGCTCCGCGATGACCTTTCGACACTTCTCCTGCTTACCCTGTAATACAGCCATATATATGTATATAATGTATCTATACATATATATTTTGTACACTTTAATTTACGCACCAGCAGTTCAATTAACTGCTTCGAATAACGCTGGACTTCACCGTCCAGTGTCAGGAACAGGTCGGCTCGCTGCAACGTTGAAGTCGACGTTGCAGTCATGGCCACCGCCACCCCGGCGGCCGCTACTCCCGGGGCATTCACTGCCGCTGCCACGGTGGGTGCGCCTTCGGCGACCTCCTTGATTGCCGCACGCTTCTCAGCGGCAAGACGCTTGGCTTCCTCCACTTCCTTTTCCCGGAGGGCTTCGCGCTCCGCAGTGGTTCTGCGGAGCAGAGAGGCGTAGCTGTCCTCCGATGCACTGCAGCGCGCTTCCAGGGTATTTTTTTGCGAGGTCAGTCGAGCTACTTGTAGCTCGAGCTCGTCCACACGCTGCTGCACAGCGTTCGTCGGCTTCGTCGGTTTCGTCGGTTTCTTCACTGGATTCATCTAGAAAAAAATTAAAAACATGTAACAAGAAATAACAGCAGCGCTTGAACCAAGTACTGCATTAAACAACGTCACAAAAACACATTAATACCTCAACTTGCAACTTCTAAGATTTGAATAAGGGTGAATGCTGACAACAAAATTGCTCGATCCAATTGTCTAAATTCTATAGTAGGAGTGTACATTGAAGTCACTGGTTTCAAAATAATCTCTAGGTTTTGGTTTATTTTGTAAACATGTTCGGTTTGGTCCAGATCAGGAGAATAGCGGTCCATGTGAACCAACCATTCCAAAATTCTAGATCTCGTTTGGTAAGAATCACTCCAATCTTTTTGGCCTGAGTGTAGCCTTGCTCGTCAGCTGACGAAATATTATTTGCAATGACCATTTTACCGACTGTGTAGTGCCAGAAAATAATTGTTTTACCATTACCAAACCGGTACGTTCGGATCCCCTCAAAACCGGGGTAACTAACTTCTACCAAAGCCGCCTCCATTATAAGTAATTGTGCTGACTTTCAGTCTAGTTCTAATCCAAGTGCCGATCCTTAATGCAAAAAAGGTTCCCAAAATAGTGACGATGTCAGCTTGTCTGTCAATTATTCTGACAAGCTAAGACCGTCACTAATTTGGGGCAACGCCTCTTTTTTTTTGCATTTTGAAACTTTTTTTGCTTTTTATTTATTTCATAGGAAAAAAAATTATTCAGAGTGTTAGAACAGCTAATTTGGCACATAGGCCACTAAACTGAACAAAAGTTAGATCCAAGGGCACTGCCCCAGCACTAGTGATGCGGAAGCAGTTTGTGTCCCATAAGTGTGGTCTGAGACGGATCCGAACGGTTCTCCCTGTGTCGGTCCTGATTCGATAGCACTGAGTTTTCCGTGAAGTAAAAGCCCGATCCCACATCCGAAGAATTGTACCGTCCACATACAACTTTGCCATCCGTATAACAACTGCTTTATCATACTCGCCGATGGTTTGCATAAAACTACAACTGGATCCACGAGCTGCTAATGATCCGATAATAAGATGCCCATCTTGTATTCTGACACCCACGCGAATGTTGTCCGTTAAGTGATACCATAGCACGCCATGGGAAAGGCATAACAACGGTAAAGATAGGCGCTCCATATTGGCGGCTGCAGAAGGCGAGATATGTGATTATAGACTCTTAGTTTTTCCTAGATAGCGATACAAGTGTGTAACCGCTACACTTCTGACGTTCAGAGTGGCTATGTTACTTCTGTACAACTTCTGACTATGCCGCTTACCATTACTGATCGATCAGTGTCATGAGAGTTGCACAAAGCATCCGGAACTCTAATACAGATATTTCCACGGGTCCACCATTGGCTGGACGTATAAAACAGATCTGTGCTTGCTTATTCATCGCACGTCCATTCACTTTGATGAACAAATCTTTACGCTTGGCATCAGTGATTACCCGAACAACAGGTTGCCAACGATTAATCGATTTGACAAGTGTCTGGGGCATCTCACCGGAGAGTTCCATCCTAATAAGTTTGCGAGCCACACGCACATCATACTCATCCATACTCTCAACAGACTGTTCAAAACCTTCATTGGGATCATTATTCACCAAACCGCCAGGGCATACCCGTACAAGCATAAACGACTTGTTAGCCGCACGCCACCCCATGCACAGAGTATCGGTAAAATGATAATACTTCACACCGTCCTTCTCCTCTGTGTTAACGGACATAGCGTCTTCAGGTTGTGGCTTGATTGAGGACATTCTTAGCTCTAGTGAGAGGGAGAAAACTGGTTTGTTTAATACTGAATGTCCACCGTAATGATACGTATTGCTATTTCCTGGTTGTCTTCTGACATACTCATACCTTCATGGATCTGCACATTGAGAGTAGCTTAACATCTGCCCTTTTTATTTAAACAGTCAAAGGTCCGTACCCGGTTATTCTGTATATTTGTCGTCCACCCAGTAGGCTAGTTACGTTATGAAAAATTTTGTTGAACATGACTTCAGGGATCATAACCGGATCACTAGGCAGCTGTGATGTCATCTTGATTTGAACATACACTTCCAACGTCCACAAAATGATGCACAATGTCGAGACAATGCTGTAGAATATGAAATCTTTTTATCCATTGTAGCTTGTCGAATTGTTTCCGCCGATTTCATCTGACGTTAATCTCAGAGTATTTAGAAACGCTTCTGTCACGTCCTTCGATGCCTTGATATCGATTTCCGTTATATTTCTGTTTCCCTAATGGATTGATAGATTTGCAGGAATAGAAACTGAGTAGGAGGCCAAACATAATCACCCAGAAAACGGTACCTGCGACCTGCTTTCTGTTAATTTTGAGAAGTCCATTTATAAAGTTCCGGTCTTTCACTCGTGTTCGCATACTGAAAAACTTGTTAATAAATTTGCATACGAACACATCGTTCACTCCTTTATGCTTGGTTAACGCTGACATGACATCCTTGTATGTATATCCGTAGCAGCGTAGCGTAACAAAAAACATACAGTATTGGCCGCATACTGTGCTGTTTACGCTTTGTCGCTCCGTGTTAGATAAAATAATAAAGTCGTCCCCATCCAGTTCTTGATATGCTGCGAGTAAACGGATGGGTTTTCACCGTATGAATCGAAAGCCTCAAGTATGCCTGGTGAGACACAGTAGAATGCAACCCAGTGCTGTCCGGGATCGCCCTCCACCTCCGTATTGACAATGTAAGCGCCGGGAAATTCCTTGTCTGGGATTCTGTTGGCAGAATACACTCCGATAAAAATCTCGCGGATTTTCGGATCTCTCTGTAGCGCGTCTTGGATCTGTATGTTGTTCATGGTGCAAAGTCAAAAATGACTTGACGATTATTGTTGATTTCTATAACGTTATCGAATACTAGCATGGCAACACAAACAACATTTTCCTCCAAACCCTTAGCAAATTTCAAATGTATGTTCAGATTTCCATGACGCGATAAGGACATTGCTCCTCGTCCTGTGTGTCCACGTGTGAAATCGAAACCGTATAGGCAGAATCCCCTTGTTGTACTGTTCGCGGTCTATT